GTGTGTGTGTACACGTGTGTGTGTACTATCTGTCTGACCACTCCTCAATCTTCTTTCTTCGCCCTCTTCTCTTCTCCCTCTACACACCTCACTTAGTGATCTCAGCAGCTCCCAAAGACTTAATTATCATCTTTATGCTGACAATTCTCAAATCTACTTATTCAGCCCTAACCTCTCTGCTGACCTGGATCCAGTCTTGCATCTTCACCTATCTTGTGGACACCCCAAACTAGATGCCCTACACACATATTAAATCTCAACATCTCTAAAACTAAATATGTCTCCCAATCCTCCCAGGCCCACAAACTTAAAACCTAGGTGTCATCCTCTATTTGTTGCTCTCTCTCACTAATTACATCCAATCTGCTGCCAAGGCCTATCGATTTTACCTTGGGAATATCTCTGTCTCTAATACTGCCCCCATCCTGCAGCAAGTCATCATCATCTCATGCCTGGACTATTGCAATAGGCTGCTAATAATAAAGTGGTCTGCCAGGCACAGATCTCTTCCTACTATAATCCATATTCCATTCAGCCACTAAAAGGATTTCCCTGAAGTTACAATCTCACCCTATTGCTCCCATATTCAATAAACCAGCGGACTATCACATACATGATAAAAAAAAAAAAGTTTATTTAGCATTCAAAGTCCTTCCTAACCTAAGACCTTTCCAGTCTTTTTACACCTTATCACCGCCCCCACACCCCACACTTTTCAATCCAGAGACACTGGCCTTCTTCCTTGTTGTTCCATTAACAGGATTCTCCATTTCCCTACTGTGCACATTTTCTCTGGCTGTTCTTCATAAATGGAATGTTTTCCCTCATCTCTCCCTATTTATTGGCTTCTCTGGCTTCTTTCAAGTTTCAGCTAAAATCCCACCTTCTACAGGAAGTCTTTCCTAATTCCTATGAATTCTGGTGGGTCCCTCTATTAATTACTTCCCATCTATCCTATTCATAGTTTGCCTGTATTTGTTAGCATACTGACTCTCCCATTAGACTGTGAGATCCTTGAGGAGAAGGACTGATGTCTTTTGCTTTTCTTCAGCACTTACAACAGTTCGTGGCACATAACAGGCAATTAAGAAATGCTTACCAAATAACTGAAATAACTCCAAGTCATTTTTTAGAATGTTTGGACCAATTCACCAACTCCATTGATATATACCTAATTACAGTGTATTAAGTATGGCTGTCTTCAAGCAGTGCAACCAGCATTGCCTATTAACATCCTTTGTCATCTTTATCAATTTCTTAAGTATAAAGTGAAATCTCAGAGTTGACTTTAATCTGCATTTCTGTCAGAAAGTCCATAAATTGTTATTAGTAATTGATGGTAAGGTTCTTAATGGTTAACAGTATTCAGTTCTTCTGATGGGAACTATTCATTCACTGGAAAATGGCTCTTTGTCTTACATATGTGTTAGTTCCCTCTATACATCCTGGATATCAAGCCTTTATTGACAGCTACATGATGCACAGTTTTTTCCTTAAACTGGTATCTTCCCTCCTTACAAAAGCTGCAATAATTTTGATTTTGGTAGTGCAAAAGATTTTCAGTTTCACATAATCAACATTATGGGGCTTTGGGGGGACTGCCTCTATCACTTGTTTGACTATGAATTCTTTCCTCTAGCCATAGCTGTGAAAGCTACTTCAGATGGTTCTTTTCTAAAAATGTTTTTTTACAACTTTCCAGCTATGTGTCAAGGGTCAGCCTCATCTATTTACTGGTAATGCTGTGTATTTTTGTCTCTTGGTTTTACTTGAGACAAAATAACCTTATTATGTGCAGATTCTGTAAAACCTACACATCTCTTCCTAATTCAAAATTTACCTTAGACCTAGCCCTCTCGTCCTGTCGGGTAGTTTAAGTCAAAGTACAAAACACGTAGCCTACACATTGCGGCCTGCAATACTTCCAAGTGTACCCTAAATCAAATTGGGAAATAGTTAACAAGATAAATAAAAATACAAAAGTGTTAAATATGTAGTTTTCTAAGTCAATATGCACCTGTAAGGATCTTTATGTACAGTTTAGCAGCCCTAATTTCTATTTAAGCCATTATTTGGACTGCCTTTTTGCCAGGAAAAGAGATGCTTCGCTGTTCAGTGTGCAAACAATTATGCTAAAACATCAGAGAAGCGAAGCACATGGCACCTCATTACCCTGTAAAACCTGTAAGATTTCTCAGTGCCATTCAGCAGCCTTTGGTCCCCTTTGTTTTGTCCTCTGAGGCCAAGGCTTCATCTCCCTTTTCTTCTAATATATTCTTCTCTAATCAAATCCTCTTGTAGAAAGAAATGTAAGGTTCTGATTTCATGGCTTCCTCCTTTCTCTGAAACATCAAGCTCATAACCCTTCTTTAGGCTTTCTTGTACAGCAAAACCCAAGCACATAAATTACTTGGGGAGAACGTATCTATTTGACAAGAACTGTAAGCAAAACCGGAAAGCTATTTGGCAGTAACTAAGGTTAGATCAACATCTTACTCCATACTCCATAATAACTTCAAAATGGACAGCCAACCAAGTCCTGGGCCTCGCACCATCAATGCACAGATGGGGAAGTTAAGTAATTCTAAGAAAAAATTTTTTTTAAATGCAAGCATATTACTTTGAGATAAAGAAGCAGTAAGTCATGACTTCTTAATGATTTTTCTATGGAAAAACCCTCCAATGGCTTTCCTTAGAATTCCTATAGAGTACTTATAATGTTTTCCAACACGAGGTTCCAGAGGACAAACTGCTGCCAAGCATATGTCATAGGCTGTATAAGCTCTGCGTCACCATAGATAGAATTCTAAGATAGGGAACATCTGAAAAACGCTGATGGCTATTGGGGAGTCAGTAAAGATTAGTATGCTTAAGTTATTTGGACATGTCTGTACAGTAACTCTGCAACAGGAATCTAACAAGCAGGTAATTAAAGGGTCTGCTATACAACCATTATACATATAATTACTCATATACAATCATTAGTCAGCAAGTGTTTATTATGTAGCACTACCTGAAAAGAGCTAGAAGAAATAGGAAGACAGAAAGCAACAGGTGTCAGAAAAGTCAAATCACTACTACTACATTAGCTACTATCTCCTCTCAAACCCTGATGGAATGTTCTAGGAGAAAAGGAGAAATGGGGAGAGAGTAAGGAGAGGGAGGGAGGAAAAGAAAGGACAAAGAACAGGAGAGAGAGAGACAGAGTGAGAGTGAGAGTGAGAGTGAGAGAGACAGAGAGACAGACAAGAGAGACAGACAAACACTGGCAAAGCCACAGAAATTATAAGACATATGGTTCATTCTAAAGGGAATCACCTGTTCGCCCAGTTCTGGAGAAAGGTAAATTTTTATCTAAAGTTTAGAGACTTAGTTGAGAAAGACACTAAAATAAAACACATCGGTGTGAGTTAAGAAGGGAAACAAGATAACCACGATCATAATCAGACCACACGATGAGGATCAGCCTGGAGAAGAAGGGTGATACTGCAGCTGTATTTCCCATCAATGAAGGGTGACCATGTGGAAAAGGGACTAGACTTATGTTGTTAGTCCCAGATAGCAGAACACAAAATAATGTGTTAGGTAAATCCAGGTACAGGGACTTGCTATAATATCAAAGTGCTCTTAGTATCTTTGCTCATAGCTTTTTGCATGACATAAATATATTGGAGAAAGGTGATCCACAAATGCCCCTTCCTGCAATATCATCTCCTCTCCCACACTTCCTTTAAATATCACACAACAAATATAAATCCACAAACAATACTTACAGAACCAAACACTGGTAGGAGGCATGCTTTCAGAATGCCTTTGGATTGTCAATTAAAGTTAATGATGAAATTTTTTAAAACCTTGAAACAGTATTGCCAGATTTTTTCTTTTCTTTTTTGGGGGGCGGGGGGGGGACGGGGGACACAGTCCTGCTCCCCTAACAAAGTCAAAATGCTTAACAATTAAAAGGAGTCACCAGCAGTAAATGATCAGCCTCAAATATGTGATGTTGTTTCAACAGAGCTGGGAAGAAGGCAAAGTCCCGTAAAGAAGGATAACACCAAATATATAAAGTCACCTGGCTCTGAAAGTGTGCAGAAAACAAGAACTCTAAGTAATGAAAGAAAATCCAACCTCCTTTACCAAAAAGAGTAGTATGGACGCCCTTCCGAGCAGAAACGGGGACACAGAGAGTGAGGAGGGGTGAGCAGGAGAGAGATTATACCTCAATTCTCCTCTTTGCTTTGTCATAGGCCCGCTCTTCCTTAGTTCGGTCATCGTCGGAGTCACATTCAGACTCAGAGCTGAGCTCTTTACTTTGCTTTTTGTCTATTGATGGCTTCCCAGGGTCTTTCTCATCTGAAACCTTCTCTTCTTCATCATCACCATCACTTCCATCACTCTCTCCTTCATCTTCCTCATCCTCGCTTTCTTCCTCCTCCTCTTCCTCCTCTTCCTCTTCCTCCTCTTCCTCCTCTTCTCCAGGGTTTTCTTTTACTTCAATATGCACAGTGTTTCTTTCTGTCAAGAAAATATTTTGGTCATTTAAAAAAAGTTGGTTGAGAAACACTTAGTCCCTAGTGAAAAGGTAATTTCATTATTCCAAAACAAAATATTGCACCCAGAACTAATAAGCCACATAGATCAATATTAAATGTTAGAAGGTGTAGAAAGAATCTGGTGCCAAATGACAAGCTAGGAAACCTAAATGGCTTCTAGAGGAAAGGGATGAAACACAGCTAAGGCAAAGAGGTTGTAACCTAAAAAGCTCACATCCTGACCATTCTTTTTCTTCCTGATCTCAGGGCACTTCAAGGGGGGACAGGGAAGGGTAAATTCCTGAGCATACATCTAAATGCCAAATTCTGTTCTCCTAATTTGTCCATTCTTTCACACCTCCGATCTATTTCTCATCCCCAATTCACCCTCAAGACCTCTAACCAGTACCACAGCATCTATCAAAAACAAACTAATAAATCTATTCCTTAACCGGTTTTCATGCACTAGAGGGATTAGCTGTACTAATCACAGTGTTTAATCACAGAGGACAAAACTAGGATCAATAGAAAAAGTCATAAAGAAGAAAATTTAGGATTTAAGATAAATTTCCCAACAAGGAAGAAGGAATTCTGTTTCAGTAGAAGTCTAACAAGATGGCCACAAAGTTCCCTTTTTTTAATTCTGGAATTCTGTGACACTATGAACCCCACTCAAAACTGATCAGGTTCCTGGCCCCAGGCCACCATCAGTGAAATGACTCGGAGTTCTGAAAGTCCTTTCCTAGCAAGTGAGGAGACAGCCAAGAACCCATGTGAGGCCCTGGTAAACTGACAGAGGAAGCATTATGTACTCTACTGCAGTACATGCAGATTTTAGGCTTAATAGGCTTTCATGGACTGGGTTGAGAACAAGTTAGATGATGCTGGCAAACTTTAATATATGCAAATATAGGCAAAGCTTTAATATATGCTCCAACATAAAGCAGGACAGTGGCATTTTAGTAGGAAAAATTGTGGACTGTATTTTCAGTAAAGGACTTACTGCCAATAAACAGACACACACAGGAACGCGTATGTACACATGCATGCATACACACATACACATAAATAAACTCATTAATTTATCTAAGCCTAGAAACATGCACTTTAAAAACCTACCTTTCTCTCTTTCTTCATCACTAGCCATTGCTTCCCAATCATCCAAGCCAGTATCTTCACTTTCTTCTTCCTCTTCTGTAAATTAAAGATTTAATCAAATACGCAGAAACTTAATCATATGAAGATTTTTTAATACAATTAAAATTTTGTTCTATATAAAATAAAAATAAAGTGAAACACATAAGCAACTTATGTGTTTAAAAGCAACTGGAAAATACCTACAAAGCAGAAACTGTTTACAATTTACTTTTAATAGAAATCCAAAATTTTCTCCAATTAAGATATTCTGTATTTTTGCACAGGCATTCCATATTCAAAGTGTAAAAACCAATAATTAAATCTCAACTGAACAGCTAGGTGGTGCGGTAGATAAAGTGTTGGGCCTGGAATCAGGAAGACATCATTCCTAAGTCAAATCTGGTTTGACTCTTATAATCTGTGTGGTCCTGGGCAAGTCACTTAACCCTGTTGGCCTCAGTTTCCACATCTGGAAAACGAGCTGGAGAAGGAAATGGCAAATCACTCCAGTATTTTTGCCAAGAAAACACAAAACGAGGTCATGAAGAGTTGGACCCAACCAAAAAACAACTGAACAAAAAAATCCCAACTATTAGAACTGTGAACTCTGTGCCATCAAATATCACGTACAAATTCATTAAGTGTCCATTTGAAGGAATTCTAGAACTTAATGTGGACTTTCTTTTCAATTCCTGAACTCATACAAAAAGATTTTATTATTAGGATTACAAATTTAGAACCAGAGGGTCCAAGCCCCTTACTTTCCTGTAAAGGCACATGAAACCTAGAGAAGATGCAAACTAATTTGCACAAAATCACTGGGATTTAAACCCAAGTCCACTGACTCCAAATCTAGAGAACTTTCCCGAGTGATGCACTGCTAGGTCAATTAATTATGCCCTACTCTCAATAAAACTTAGTGAAGATAAGTAAGGTACTTTTAGCTAAGATATGGAGATGGATGTGGATGTGGATAAGATATGGAACTGTGTGTTCTTCATTATTAATCTTAAGAATTTGTGTATCCCGGGGGCAACTAGGTGGTGCAGTGGATAGAGCACCTGCCCTGAAGTCAGGAGGACCCGAGTTCAAATCCAGTCTCAGACCAAACACTTGACACGTACTAGCTGTATGACCCTGGTCAAGTCACTTAACCCCAATTGCCTTTAAAAAAAAAAAAAGAATTTGTGTATCTCTTTTTCCTCTCTACTCAGATCAAAAGTACATATTAGGCATATATAAGTTTGCAACAAGGTAAAATATTTTTATCAGCAACCTCTCAAAAATGGTTATACATTAAGTTACACATTTTAAACACATTTGTCCCATTTACGGGGCTAGATGCAAAGTAGTAGGACTTTTGAAAATTCTCTTCTGAAAAAGTCCAAAATTCCTTTTGAAGGCTTTTGTTAATTTGGCTTCAAAATTATTTCCATGGTTTTTAAATTAGAATTTCATGTCTTCTAGTTACCCCCAGTAAGATTTCGGGCTTCCAAAAAAAAAAAAATCAACAGATGAATCTGAATGCCTACCAGTGCAGTGAAACTGGGAGAAAAAAGGTACACAGAAAAGCAGGAAAAAAGAAGAAAAGTGAATAACTGGTACTTTTACCATCAAACATAAAAAGTCTACTTGTTTTTTTAAACAAGGACGGAACAAAGTGTTATGGAATATCTGTCCTCTTCATTCAAGAGTGAGATCCCTCCAGCTGTCTCTCACTCATGCTACTGACCTGGTTCTACAAGAGGCAGGGACTCTTCTTTTTCTGGAATAGCTTGTTCTGTAACTTCTACTGGAAGACTCACTTCTATTGTTTCTAATGAAAACAGGAAATAAAACAAACAAATATTTACTTTACTAAGGTACAAGGTATTTCCATCAATTCTCTTACAACTGGAAAAATATTGCTAAATATAAAGTAAAAAAGTAAAAAGCACCAGAATTCTAATGACAAAACAAACATATTCAATATATTCCTATTCAAACTTTTTCTTCTTAAGTTATAACTGAGATTAGAAATAAAAATATAGAAAAAAATAGAAATAATAAATAATAAATAAGATATAATTGAGGTTAGAAAAGGGACAAAGGATGAGAATTTTACTTTTTGTACTTTCAGTTTCTAATGACAAACAACTTTTTTTTTTAAAAAAGCTGAAAGTCACAATAGAATTGTGTCTGACTTCAGATTAGGCCAAGAAATTGAAGGTGAACAAAACTTTTAAGGCTAGAATCTAGTTAGAATGCTAACCTTCTTTATTTTCTTGTTGTGGCTGTGGTTTTTTCCTCTTTTTATCTTCATATATTGGCCTCTTCTTTGGCAAAGAATCTTTAGATGGCACTTCAACACCTAAAAGGGTAAAAGACAAAAAAAGATTAAATGACAGCTTTTTGACATAGATAAAATCTTTTTTTCCAGGGCTTTCTATCCTTTTTCATTCTTTAGAATATAAGTCTATATGTTAAAATTTCCCAATGTTTTTGGGGTGAAGGGGAGAGATTCTATTTTATGGCAATAATAAAAACACAAACGAGAAACAGAAATGAGAAACAAAGAAAGAGAAAGGTGGGAGAAATTTAAAAAAGAAAAGATGTCAACTTATGACACAGAAGCTACACCAAAAAAACCTGTCGGCCCACAACGGAAGTAAAAGTATTATCTTCACTGTGACTATTAAAGTCTATGAAAAACATAACAGCCTCTCCCCCCCAAGCTTGGACAACAATTATCACCACAAACTCCAAATATGGACAAAGTAGAGAACCTAAACAAAGTTCAACTGAGAGAGTCCTGAGACTTCTGCCAAAACTAGATATTTAGACCAAGCCCAGATCTCCTCCATCTTAAAACAATATGGCTCAAATAAAATAAAAAGGAAAGGAAAGATACAATAAAGAAAAAAGAGGAAAGAAACCTTTACAAAAAGAGAAAAAAAAATAGGTTTAATATTAACGTATATCTAGAGCTTATATCAAATTGCACACCGTTGTGGGGTGGGTGAAGGGGAGAGATAGAGAGAAAATCTGGAACTCAAAATTTTATGGAAGTGAATGTTGAAAACTAAAAATAAATAATTTTTTAAAAAGAGAGAGAAAAGCCCACAGGAAAACAAATAAAATAGATAAAATCTCCACAACAAAAGGACCACACCAAGAACTATATATCTACAAGAACTTCCAGAGTAGTTTAGAATCACAGTAAGAGATATGAAGGAAAACTTGGAAATAAGACAAACTCTAAAATTAGACAAGCACGAAAATTAAAAGAGTAGGTGACATAATGGAAAATCTTAATGAAACAGTAGACTCCCAGAAGGAGAGTGACTCAAGCAAATAAAATGTGCAGAGATGGAATACAGTAAAATTTAATGGTAAGACTGGAAGATCTCAGCTCTCTACAAAAACAAGACATGGCACTTAAGAGTCCAGTAAGACAGTGAGTTGTCACTCAGAAAACACAAAAACTCTAGGAAAACACTCAAGAAAACTGCCAAAAAATTTTCAATAGAGGGGGCAGAGTACAAATCAACAGTCTTCAGGTTCAGATGAAGAACACCAATTTTATTTAACTCTCCTCAAAAACATAGGTATCAAGTGACAAGGCTTCAATCAAGATAGTCCCTTTCAAGAAGTCTGTGAAGAGATGATGAAGAAAAAACTACGTGGAACCCCTGGCATGCTAATTGATTAATCAGTTCAAATTTAAAAAAGGAAATATAGAATTGAAGGTAACTAAAGGATAACTCGATATTAACATAAGAACTTTAGATGATTTAAGTAACTTTTGTTATAAGGATTATTAAAAAGAACACTAACAACCAAAGACTAGGCATGGGGAAAAGTCCCTTGAAAGGGATCAATTAAAATCATCCAGAGCACTGAATGTAATGTTTCTTTGAAATCAGATACCACACGAGGAAAAAGGATAGGAGAAATTTCTAAACCAGATTTTTATCTGAAATAAGGCAAAAACAAATACAAAAAATTAAAGGAAAAAATTAGTTGTATAAAAGCAGAATCCCTGGACTTGTCTTTGGTATGGGCAGAGGTTGAATGGTTGAGATTGATTTGGTACAAAATAATAAAAGATACTATTTATCAAGCTTATGATGTGTGCAGGAATAAGACTGAGCTGTTTAATAGAACAAACAGTATAATAGCTTGCATTGAGAAGAGTAAAATATAATAATAGGATCTAATGGAGGAAAAAAAGACCAAATATAAGAATTCTATCATAAATGTTAACGTGTCAAATTCACCAATAAAAAGAATAAACTGCAGAAGGGTACAAAAACCAAACACCCTCAAATTTGTTAAGACATATAAAATATAGATTAAAGCAGATGGATTTAATTTAAAGGCTGGAATAAACCCTATTATGCAAAATAAATTCTGAAAAGCAAAATTGTAATCATGATTTATGATAATGCAATTAGCCACATAGACAAAACACTGAGAGACTGGTTGAGAAACTATGTGGTGATCAAAGGCACCAAAGATAATGAAAAGTCACTATTAAATATATAAGCATCAAATGGTACAGCAATTAAATTCTTAGCAGAAAAGCAAACTTCAATAAAAAAAGTCATAGAAAAATAAGATACTAATTTTAGACCACCTTAGCATTCCTATGCCAGACTCCACAAATCCAGAAGGAAGATAAAGAAGCAACTTATAAACCTGAGCAAATTTTGGGAAAACAGATTTCAGAGACACAAAGATTTGAATAGCAACCCTAGGTAAGATATGTATGTATGATTATTTGTCAGTTTCAAGAGACTAAGAAAAACTGATCACATGCTAGAGAACAAATTATCTCAAACAAATAAAAGCACAAACCATAAATACTTTACAAACCATACCCTACTTAATCTATAATTTTAATGATTTGTATATTCCTTCCAAGACTGAAGACTGCGATCGTCCATGTCTGCTCAGCTTGTATGACTGCTATCTATCTGTGCTCAGAAGTGTGCCATGCAGGGTCTACCCATATGCTAAATTACTTCTTCATGTGTTCAACTTCAATCCTCTAAAGAGTGTAGCATTCTATGACTTACAGTCATACTGCACTACCAAAAGAATACTGGTTTAAAAAGATGGGCCTTTCGTTCAAGCTTGGTATCATTAAAAGAGCTCTGCAATTTCTTAAAGGCAACCCTCTCTTCTCTTTCTTCAATTCTGAGCTCAACTGTTCACTGTCCATTTGGAGTGTTTTCCCAGGATTTTTATGTACACAAACTGAAACAAGGAATTTGTGGAAATTTTTATGTGGAAAGATAGTGAATAAAAGGGCTCTCAGTTTCTGCTGAGTGGTAACATAGTTGGAATACAGCCAATATAACTATCACATCTGAGCCAACTCCTGGCTTAAATCTGGCTGACAAGTTGAGCCTCCTTAACTGCTTGGAAACCAAAGGATTTTCTAGGATGTACATCAAGGAGTGATCTACACATAACGAACCATCCTAATTAGATTCGTCTAAGTCTTTATCAGGTTGGAGCCAGTGATGCTACAAGAATTAGCTCTACCAGGACTTTCCACTATTGGGTGTGTGTAGTATTCAGGAGGACTAGCACCTCTCCCGGGGATTTGCTAAGCCCTTTTCAGGACTGCTTATCACCTTTGGTGTCAATCTGATTCACTCTACCTGTGGTTCCAAGAAGCTGTAGCATGCACAGCGACTTACATCATGGGTAAACTTTCTTGGCGGATGGACTAAACCAGGTTGAGGGTAACCAATGGGCCTCAAACCTGTCAGTGAGTCAAAAGGATGTGTACCCTAAGCATGTGAAGACTTCCCCAGGCAAAAAAGGCAGATGAAAACAATTTGTTCCAATGGCCAAGAAGGCAGCTGAAGTAAGTGCCTGGAGCACAAGATGCAGCACAAGAACAGCACAACTTGGGGCAGAGCCAAGATGGCGGAGTAAAAGCAGTGACTTGCTTGAGCTCTCCCCCAAACCCCTCCAAATACCTGTAAAAAATGACTCTAAACAAATTCTAAAGCAGCAAAACCCACAAAAAGACAGAGTGAAACAAATTTTCGGCCCAAGATAACCTGGATGGTTGATTAGAAAGGTCTATGGTGCCAGGCTGGGAAAGGAACACAGGTCAGCATGGGCGCACATACAAAACAGGCCTCAGTGAACCTGGAGCAGGCCTTAGAGGACTGAATCATGGGCAGCTGTGGCGGTTTTAAGACTTCTTAACCCATGAACACCAAAAACAACCTAGAAGGTCAGTAGGAAAAGTCTGTGACTACAGTGCGAGAGAACCTCAGTCCCAGCCCCACTCCTGGCTTCAACTCCAGGACGGCAGCTGCTTCTGGAGCTTCCAGCCCACAGACTGAGGGGGAATCGAGTAGCTGATCAGAAGGGGATTACAGGGATCTCTTTGCTGGTGCTGAAGCAGGATTCTTTTGCTTTGCCTGTGCTTGGATCTGGGTCACAGTCCTGGGTGGTGATCCTGGGGTGAGGAGGAGCACTGGCATGGTACAGCTTGTAGTGGCAGTGGAGAGGGAATCCTCCTCACAGTTCCAAGGCAGAAAAGAGTGCTTGTGGTCACTCACAGACCAGAGCACAGGCCAGGAAAGGAGTGAACACCTCACCCTTGATCATACCACTGTGGAATAACTAAAAACTTACAGGTCCCTAGAAATATCTCTGAAAACAGCTGCACAAAAACCCCAAAGCTTGGGACAGTACATTCTCCACACTGGAAGCAGACCCCCTACCTTAACAAAGAGTTTAAAATTCAAGTAATTGGCTGGGATCATGAGCAAACTGCACAAAAAAAGTCAGACCACAGAATCTTTCTATGGTGACAAAGAAGATCAAAACATACAATCAGAAGATGACAACCAAGTCAAAGGTCCTACATCCAAAGCCTCCAAGAAAAATATGAATCAGTCCCAGGCCATAGAAGAGCTCAAAAAGGATTTTGAGAATCAAGTAAGAGAAGTAGAGGGAAAATTGTGAAAAGAAATGACAGTGATGCAAGAAAATCATGAAAAACAAGTCAACAGCATGCTAAAGGAGACCCAAAAAAATGTTTAAGAAAATAACACCTTAAAAAACAGCCTAACCCAAATGGCAAAAGAGATCCAAAAAGCCAATGAAGAGAAGAATGCTCTAAAAAA